CCCCAAAACCCCAAAACCCCAAAACCCCGAATTAGCAATATTATCAAAACTGACAGATTAAAAGATTAAACAATCAAATAACTTAAATAAAATCTTAGACAATCATTCTATATCGTAGACAAGTGTAACTTTAGGGAGTTTACCAGTACTAGCCATTAAGGCAGTCTTATGGAAAGGCTTGGGTTAATTAAATTTGTTTCTATATTCAGTTCTGACCATATCAGTGTGCAAGATCTTGTCAGGTACCCATGTCTGTCCATCAAAAAGTTGTCGATTGTTTTAGAACCCACTAGCCGTTTATGTTATGGGTCGGAATGAATTCCTCATCGTATTATCAAACATCAAATCTTTCATTGAGGCTGCTTGTCTAGTAACAGGTTTTAGTTTCTCTTATGGCTTGCCAAAGGATTATCTAAACACTGTGGACCATTTTGGTTCATCTACATTAGGGTGAGGACGCAAGATCGTTTATTTTCCATATTTATGAGACCAAGCTGGTAATGTTGGATCTTTCCTCAAATCTGTATTCCAATTGTGCCCTGTAGATGCATATAGCGAAGGAGTATCTAATTTTTCAGGTGAAAACACTCTTCTACTAACCCCTGTAATCGAAGCCCCAAATTCATTATTTGCTATCTTGCCTGGAATATATCCTTGATACTTTGGTAGCACATGATTCTTTTTGGAGACTGGACTCTATATACATTCTGAATTAACCTTTCAAGTTATTTACCTTGACAATTCCCATGTCATTATATGAAGTTCTGTATAAATGGTTACTAGTCCAGTTGTAGAAAGTATCTGGAGACAAAGTGCGAGTTTAGCGACCTGGACTCCCGAAGTCAAATTTACTCTTCGAGTCTAATAGCATGTTAATTTTGATATTTTAATTATTATGAAATATAATATCGATTTGTTATAGTTAATTAAATATTATTCAAAATGAATGTTTTAAAAGGAAATGATAACTCATCAGCTGCATAGAGTACTTATTCTTTATTTGATGCTCTTTAGAAAATGGTGCAGCATCGAAGCAACCACCGTTACATAGAAAAGATAGCTCAACATCTGGGTCCTAAAATAACGGAACTCATTATGATCCTAGCAACAGAGCTAGTTCTAAAAGAAGGCCTGCTCCTGTTAGGTAGCCCTCATAGTCAAGGAAGATTTCAGCTACTGAGGATTAAATATAGAGTTTAAACAAATTTTAATCTCATGAAGCAGCAATCATCAAGTAAAGCGATTTTATGCAGATAAAAAGTAATTATCAACCTCATATCTAACTTCTTTTGCAGATAACTTAGATCAATTCAAACAAGAGAAACAAGCAAAATAAGAAAATGAAAGTATATTTGGGTTAATGGGCTAAAACAACCCAAACAACTACAACGAACTTGAAGGATTAGCACTTTCAAAATAAAATAGCAATGCAAACAATAGATCTCCTAAAAAAATCATGGAAAATTTCAGTAAATACATTGAATGATTAGATTTATAGGTTATGATAACAGTAACAGAGGAATTGGGTAGTCAGAAAATAATAATTTTTCATAGGCAATGATGCAGCCCTAAACTGATAATAATACTATTAGAAGGGGATAAAGCAATATACATTCTCATGCAATTGTAGGATCAGGTGCATTATAGCCAAACAATGATTAATTAGACAAGGACATGAAAAAGAAAATGTATCAAGATGAGTTACAAAGATAAATCAGAGAAAGAGATGAAATAAGAAAAAGAGAGAATGAAGGGCCAAGACAAAGAGGGGGATCAATTGCAAGACATTCTGAAAGTAGTAATGTACCTGATCTTTAAGGGTCTGCTGGTAACTCTGGCTAAACTGGGCATTTTCCTTGGCAGTAAAGAGCATCTATGGAAAAACCACTGAGCCAATAAAATGAACTTTAACAACAATTTATGCAATCGGATAAGAATCTTTCCTAGAAATTGTAATAAAAATGCCCTCTTAATATTTTTAGGCAAGAAATTAACAGCCCTTCAATATAGTAAGCATCAACTTTCTATCCTGGAGGGAAAATACCACCATCCATGCATTAAAACGCTATGATGACTAAAATGGACTTCCCGTCAATTATGACAAGAGGTAAAGTCGTCGAGGGCAGAATAGATATTGAACTAGAATCAAGAGGCACCATATTTTAGGGTAGAGATGAAAAATCTATCTTAATAAGAAAGAAAGAAGACAATTAATAAGCTATTAGAGAAGCTCTTCAAAGATAAATTGATGAGAAAAATCGTAAAAAAGAAGAAGAAAAGAACAGAGAGAGGTAGTTTGAAATAATGGAGGAGCAAAGAATAAAATAAGAGATTTCTTAGGAGTAGCCAATTACTAATTAAGGAAGAAAAACTATTTACAATAATCATAATCAGGTGTCGATAGTAGGATCAGGACCAACAAATATTCCTGAGAAAAAGTTTTCAGAAGATTCTTTGATGAGAAGTCCTAATCAAAGGACTCAAACAGGTAGAGAAATGGGACTGATTAAAGAAGAGACTGAAGAAAACATCTTTGATTTGGGTGAGGGAAACTAAAGACAAAAAACATTTGATCAAAGAATAGAGCAATAATAAATGACTAATGATATCTTATTAAAGGAAGCTGAGTAGTTAGATCAGAAAAATAAGCAAATAAATGAACTCTCTGATATGGTTAAGATATTATTACAAGAATAGTAGAACCTGAAAGAGAAACTGAATGAATAAGAATTTAAAATGAAGGAAATTGGAGACAAAGGCATTAATAAAGATGCTAGCTTACTATAGAGAAAGCAAACTGCGATTACTAAGAAAGCATCAGAAAGAACAAGATCTTAAAATCCTCCCAAGAAAACAATTCAATCTGCAGATAATAAATCAGTTTAGGCAAAAAGACTCAAAGAGCAACATGCTATTGAATAAGCAAGATTAGAAGCAATCGAAAATAAAATTGAAAAGGCTAGAAAAAGAATAGAAGAAACTAAATAGCAAAAGGCAATAACTGCATAGTAAACTAGAGTAAAACTAAATGCTATTGGAAATGGAAATCCAAATGATGACATTAATGAATTACTCTATGGTAATAGCGATGTATCATCGAATCAAAACTAGTAAGATACTATTTCAGCTCATCAGCATGTGCCAATCATTGGAGGAAGACATAAAAGTAATGCAGGAGTTTTAGGTAATGACACGAAAGGCTTCGGATCTATACCTTCAGTAAATTAAAACAAAAGTACTTATTAAGTAAATGCAATGATGCTAAATCAGCAGAAAGGAAATGTGCCTCCTAGCTCTCAATCTATCAAGCACAATTAACCTGAAAGTAGAGCATAAAAAGCACCAAGAGGAGCAAGTAATAAAGTATCTTCATAATAATTGCCTCTTTCATCAATAGAATAGAACTCAATAAATGAGGATGATGACTTTATTCCTTCTAGTGTTAAAAGGAATCAAATTGGATCTAATAGAAGTAATATGCAATCTAATTAAAATCTATAAGGTTCCTCATTCCAATCATCACACCAAAAAAGTAGAATAGCTCAAAATTCTTCTTAGTTGCTACATTAAAACTAAAGCCAACTTGGGAATCCGCTAATCAATTAAACTGATGGGCAATTTAATCTAGATAGTGAGGGGGTGAGCTAATTAACATATCCATTATAGGAGGGTCAATTTTACAGTCCAAATTTAATGAGCAGTATGAGTAAGAAATAAAATTCACCTTACAAGATAAATGATGAGGCCGATGAACAAATAAATTATCGAGTGCCTATTATAAATGGGACATAGTAAAACTACTATATGCCTTACGATCCTGTAAACTTATTATAATTTTAATAAATATTCTGTAGTCTAAGTACTCAGCAGGCTTTTCATAGTAAAATTAAATAAGACCAAAGCAATAGATGAGTGAAATGAATTTTGGGGGTGAGCCTGAACTTTAAGGATCAAAAGAGTTCATTGGAGGAGGAAGAGAATTCGTATCTAAAAATCCTTCTACTGCAGCAGGATCCTACTTCTAAGGCGGATTCGGTTTAGCCTAAGGTCTGACTAGTGGAGGAGGTATGGGGCACATGGTGAATGAGAGTTTCGATTTAGATATTATGATGCCACCAGATGTTGCTTCAATTGATTCAGATTTGAGTATGTGTATTTGATTCTTTATTCTTTTAGATAAACTAAGTGCGCTTACACCAACACCATTATAAAACAACTAATATGGCTGGGGATATGATAAGAATAATTATGGAGGACCAGGAGTTATTCCATTCGAAATAAATGATGGTTCAGAGTATATGGGCGGTAATACTTAGTATAATATGAGAGGAGCTTATAACCTCAACAATCGTTCAGATTATTGATAATTTCTGATATCATGATATCTATCCTAAATAAAAAATATGCCAAATTTTATAAGTATTATCATGCTATATCTGCTTATGAGAGATGAGGGGTTTTGGGGTTTTGGGGTTTTGGGGAGATCGGAAGAGCACACGTCTGAA